TTAGGACCCGCAGAGATTGACTCAGGTGGTGAGATATCTGGCACTGTCCCTCTGTAAGCCTTAAGTGTATGTGGAAATTTATTTATTTAGGAATAGGATAAGCCCTAAGCATGTGCAAGAAATAGACGTTAGTATAATAAATAACTAAAATAATACAATTTAGGCATTGTCTCAGTGGGTGATAGAAGCAAGACAAAATTTAGCAGAACAACTTGTCTTTTGTCTCAAATCTCATGATATATAGCCAATAATGTATAGCGATATGCTATTAAGCTAGGCTAAAATTATACTTTACTTGATTCCAAGGAATTTCAGTTAATATAGCAGACTGTGCTGTTCCTTATCTTTCTGATTTGATCCAGCTTATTATTATTTTTTTCAGGCTATTTTTGTTGCAGCAGTTCTATAAAAATTAAAGTTTGACCCTTTGATTATGGTAAAAAGAGTTTCTAATTCTGGAGTTGCAGCAGGTTTCAGAAAGTGAAAGCATGCTTTGATGTCTATTAAACAAAAAGTGGAATTGCTACAAAAAATGGATAAAGGTATATGTGAGTGTACTCAAAATTACGTGAGGAGTATGGCATTGGAAAGTCAGTATTGACAAGGAAGTAATATAACATAAGGAAATGTATATGATATAGGAGAACAAAAAAAAGAAACATTTTGAATTTTTTATGGATTTCTATACCCTACTTGTGGTGGATAACAGAAAGATTATTTGTTATGCTAAAAGTGATGACTGAATGGGTCAGACAGCATCGCAGCGAGGACGTGCCATTGGCAGGTCCAATTCTAATGGTTCAAGCCAAAATATCTCATGAAGAAATGAACTTAAAAACTGAGTACACGTATTCGACAGGTTGGTTAACCAAATTTCAAAATCGCCGTGGTATAAAGCAATTAAAAATTTTGAGTAAAAAGCTTCAGCTGATATTGAAGCTGCTGAACTTATTTGCAGATGGATTCATATCTAGTTTCATATCTATTCATATCTAGATGAATATCTAGTTTTCTGGCAATAGGCACCAGAAAATACCTTGGCTGACTCTACAGAAAAGGCTTCTACTAGTATCAAAGATTCCAAATTGAGTCTAACAGTTTTAGAATGCTCAAGTGCTTTAGGAATGCACAAGCGTGAACTTTTTGCAATTGGAAAGAATACATGACCTCAAACATTTACAGGAATAAAGATTTTCATGTTATAATGTCGTGCAAGTAAAAAAACATGGATGACGCAAGAGTTAATGAATGATTGGTTTGAAAATCATTTCATACCCAAGGATTGGCAACATTTGAATTTGGTTTGTTTACCTGATGACTCAAAAATTGACCTGATTGTAGACAACTGTTTGGCTCATAGTTCACTTAAAGTTTTAGTGAAAGATAATGTATCTGTATTATTCTTTCCTCCAAAATGTACTTCCAATCATTCAGCCTATGGATATCAGAATAGTGCACATGATGAAATGCAGATATGAAATAGCATTTTTAAAATACATGTTAAGTTACTTGAATAATGGCAAGACTATTCAAGAATTTTTGAAATATTTTGGCATAAAATCTGCTGTGTGGAACATTGTAAGGTCGTGGGAGGATGTGTTTCCAGATGCTTTAAAAAATGTTTGGCATAATTTATGGCTAGCTACCATATTTTATAGAAGAAAGATAATGATAATAACTGAAAATTTGAAGACTTTCAGATATTGCAAACCAAAGGTGAAATTTTCTAATTAATGGATTTTTGGAAAAAAATGTGGAAAAGCAGTAATAAAATGAAAATGACGTAAGAGAAGTTCTTCATTGTGACGACAATGCTCCAATCATCAATCAGTTAATGAATGGTAAAATCTGTAGTATGGTTCTAGATCCAGAAAATACTGCCAGAAAAAATGAAGAAAGTGACAGAGAGGTTATAGAAAAAGAGAAAAAAAATCAGTTGGCAAGTTAGTCAGAATTTTTGATACAGCAATTGCAGGACTTAAACAATGGAACTTTATGATTGAACAAGAAATTGTCTGTCTACAGAATTAACCCTTTCTGGCATGTTACCTTTTAAAGTTGGAATTTTGATTAAAAAAAAAAAAAGGTAGGCAGTCTAATTAGGCCTAGAGGAGTACACAAGTAAAATTTTGTGAAGATAGCACTTATCGTTTTAATTCTGTGGGTGTACCCAAAGTGGCACACTGGTTGAATAGAGCTTCGAAAAGAGTGCTGAAACAAGCATTGTTGTCAATTAACTGACCGATGAGATGTGAAGAAACAAAGAATACAGACGTACAATACAGGTGAATACAGATGTCGTAGATTATCGGTGAGCCCGGTCTGGGCACTTCTAGGGTTCGCCATTTGATTTAAGGCAAGATTTCAAGGTAAAACTTTAAAACTAATACAGAATAAGGAGATTAGCATACATCCAAAAAAATAACATAGAAATTTCTTTTCAAAAAAAAAAAAAAAAAAAAATCTGGAAGATTTCTTTGAAAAATGAGGGTCTTAAAAAGCTAAACATGGCTAAAACATATGGACTGGTTTATGTTGAGCTGCCATCTACTATAAATAAAGAAGGTTCAGAGTAACCTATAAATCCTTTTTCATTCAATTTTTCTGTGCATACAGAAGGAAATTTTTAGGTGTGTCCAGACCGGACACACTGTGGCGCAAAGGGTTAAAGAGTATAAGCTTAAAAAAATGAAGCAACTTAAACAACTTACCTTGAAAGAAATGTTTAATAAAGTGAAGAAATAAATATTAAGCTTTTTTTTTTTTTTTTTTTTGGTAAATTTTGATGTCCTTTAGATCATAAACACTTCATTATTTCATAAATCACGATTTCATATTTTTAATTTTACAATTTCTGCATGCCATCTTACTAGATTTAAACTGATGATATAATATCTGGAATCGCCGAGGTCCCGGATATCAGACTTTGTTCTGTATATTGTATCTACAAATTATTCTTAGCTGGCCTTCATTTTTGAAACTGTTGGTCATAAAAATATACTTCAGCTCACAAGAATATTTTAGATGATGCAAATATTTATGTTTTGGTAATGTTAGATTAAAAAAGAAAGTCAATTTTGTGAAAATTACGAAATTTTGTTTTTCATACTTTCCTCGAGTTTTTATTTAGTCATATTTAGGAAATTGTCATATAAAAAAAAAAGAGACTTTTTTGACCGAGATATTTAATATTATAATTGGGACTTAATTCAGGGACTGTACAAATTAGAAGAACAAAATGCTTGCATTGGTACTTCTGGATCTAGGTAAAAATAAAATATCAGTTTAGGATTAGTTACTTATTAAAAATAAAATATCAGCTCAAGAGATGTTTTGAAATTTTTTATGTTACTGCATTAAGTGACAAGCATTTTTATGCATATTGGGAAAACTACTGATAAACATAATTTTTTTAATAAATCTTATTCATGAAATCTTGCAGAATTTGGTAGTTTAGAAATTGTTAATAGGCTTTAATATTGATAATCTTGGCAACTTGTAACCTTATGTGTATAAATTAAAAATATTTCTATTTTAATGTATTTAATATTGCACACTGATAAACTGCGAAAGAATATCACGGAATGCCAAAGGTTTAAAAAAAAGGGGGACCTGAAATGATTCTATTATTATTTATTAACTGACTCCTCAATACAAGTTGAAAATAACATCAAAACTCATAAAATTTGAAATTAAATATCTTGTTAAATTTTTGTCCTATGGAAACAATCCTTTTCTGTTTAATTTTGTTGATAGTGTAACATTTTGCTCAACATGTAAGTAAAGGGCCTGGAGGGATGTATAACACGTTATTTTTTTTAAAATTTAAAAATACAAACAAAAAAATAAAAGAGAGAATCTTTTACATAGTGCATACCATTTTCATTGCGTCCAATTATTAGAGCCTTAGGATTATCCACTCCAGAGGACTTTAGCTACATTGTTCCTGCAAATAGAATGCTACAGACAGCACATTTGCTATGTCTGTATTGTTCACGGAGAAAGCATACTTCATATGTGAGGGAGCCGGAGCCTTCTATCAGCATAATGCCCATATATGGACTTTGGAGAAACCTTATCGTACACAACTACGTGCAGCTCAAGAGCATTTTTTGGTCAATGTTTGGGCCGGCGTTTTTGGAGACTACCTCATTGGACCATAACTTCTGCCCAGTCCTTTGGACAGTAGGGCATATCTGATCTTGCAACAAGTCCTGCCCAAACTTTTTGTTGCAGCAGGTGTTCCTCCGTTGTTACGCCGCTTCATGCGGTACCAGCAAGATGGGGGGCTCTTCTACATTTCATGATTGACGTCTGACGACACCTTGACGTAACCTTTGGACAGCAGTGGATAGGTCATGGTGGTCGCGGTTCACTGGTCTGCAAAATCACATGACCTAACATGCATGGACTTCTTTTTCTGGAGTCGCATGAAAGGTTTGGTGTACTAGACGCCCGTTCCTTCAGTTGCAGACTACATCACCCGGATATCTGTAGCTGTCGGGAGGATACATGACATGCCAGGAATCTTCCAGAACGTAAGAAATTCCATGCTGCACCACTGTCAGGCCTTCCAGATGATTTCTGGAATAATTTTGAATACCTGTTGCAATACAACCTTTCGGTAAAATTTTTTCTGTCCTATTAATGTGTTGCTGTTTCTGTTCTTTTTGTTCTCACAACTACGGCATTTGCGACTCTGCATTCCTATGTGATTGTGGAGTTGTCTCTGTTCCTCCTACACACCCTGCAACATTGTCAATCTGGTAGTGAATCACCCTGTATACTGATTTGTTAAGTTAAATGATTGTTTTGTATCTATGCTGTAAATTTGAATTTAACATATTTGTATGATTGTGAATCTGAACCATAATTTTTCTTAAGTGTATGTCTTTTGTTTAGTAGTTTTGTTTGGCATATATATCATTTGAAAATTAGTAACTACTAAAAATTCGATTCAAAAATTTTTATCTCATTTAATGTTTATTATTTTTTTTAAGGAAATTACTGGTGAACTTCCCCCTGAAACTCCTTTTCAGCCAGGAGAAGCACAGCCTCAAGTTAGACGAAGGGTTGGAACTTCTTTTACCCTGAGTGATAAATTTATTTGTAGAGCCAAAAGCAAAGATGTAAGTTTACTGAATTCGTGAGTACTAAATAAATTTGAAGGTTGGTCAAGGAATTTTAAAAAGTCAAGAATTTTATTTTTAGTATTAGAGATGTCTATAATTCTACAAGTTTTTCTTTTATATTTTTACCACATTGTCCATCTTTGCCTTATTACAATATTAATCCATATATGGCAGCAACCATCCATTTATACATCATAAGATTTCATCTCTCAGTCTAGTTCAATGTATGAGGATACACTGTATGTTCATTATTGACAACACAGTCTGCTAACAATTATGCAGTTTGTGGATCATCTGTGTATGGTGGTGTCCATGCATGCTCGCACACTGTTTCAAAATATTCTAAGATTGCTAAAAATCGACATCAATCACTTTAAAATGTAACCTTTTTTTCGGTGGTTCGGTTTATAAAACAAATCTATGTGCTTTCGCAATCGAAATCTTTCAAATAGGAGCCGAAGTATTCCTAATCAACTAGTGTGCGAAGCATCAAACATCCATTTCGAGCTGCCGGTGGAAAGTCTATGGAAATTCAGAAGGCACGTCGTGTTTCACACCCGACGCTACCGCTATCTATCAATCAATCAAAATAGATTCCACACACTTCTCACCTGAACTCTGTCAAGAGTTCACATTAATCAGGGTTTGTAGTGGTCCTTACAAGTGCTTATAAGTCCTTATATTTGAAAATAAAATATAAGCCCTTATAGGTGCTTGCTTTTTCTCTAAAGCACTTATTTTTTTTTGCTTTTAGTGTTTTCTTTTTTTAACGAACGCACATTTTTTCCCCGTACCAAAGCCGAAACTAAATGAACAACTTTTCTTCCTTGAATGTCAGATGATGACATACTCCCAGAAATAACTTTTTGCCCCTTTCTCTGCTTTAACATAACCTTTGGTGCGTGCGAGTACAGACGGGTGCATGTTGTTCTATTGTTTAGAGAATTGTGAAAGCGGTAGAAAATTCCAGTACATTCTGTTTTCTTTTGCTCCCACCCAATATTACACACGTTTGAATTTCTATCAAGACTTTAATAATTTACATTCTCATTCTGCCTGGTCAATTCATATTTGCGTTTATTATGATCGGTATGCTTATGTTATGAGCATATGTATGAATATTTATAATAATATATTTGCAGTAACTGCTGAAGTATAGATAAACTTCGAAAATGGGTAAGTGTGTTTTAACACAGATTAGTTTTCTAAGGAATAATATTCGGAATGGCATAAATAAAGTAAAAATAATCTAATAGTCTTCCCCCCCCCAATGCATTCTACAGTATGGAAGTTGGGGGTTCTCCCCATTTTCCGCAAAATCTCGACTATTGAAACCGTTACAGTTCGCAGCAAAGCAAGCAAAGGACTTTTTTTTTGGGGGGGGGGTAGCTTTCCAACCTGGATTGAATAGGACTAAAAGTTCTGCGGTCTACCAACTCAAGCGAAGAATGATTCTATTCCAGAAATTTAACGCAGTCTGTTCAAAATTAGAATGAAAAACACCCCAGATTGGTAAATCTCTTTATTAATCAATATTAGTATGGCAGGGATATAGTGCGGAGCACGACGTGTCCTGCTCGACGATAAATATGCCGCATGGCTGCATGACGGTGAAAACCGGATGAAGCAAAGGTGTGTTTTACTTTATTTAGTTATTTATTTTCCGAATACTGGTAGTTGTTGATTCCGATTGTGTAATATCACGTGCGGAAGAATAAAGGTGCACATATTGCGCAATAACGTTTGCGATATTTTGCAGAGATAAAAGATTTTTACTGTGCTTGCAAAGCAGATTATTTTTCAGTTCGATTGGGCTATTTTTTGTATGATGCACATGTCGAAATGTCAAAGCATTATTTAGCTGAAAAATCTAAAGAACGTCTGAAATCTACCCCCTTCCTCTGTTACCAGTTACGCTTGACTATCTGGAATTTTCATGTATTCGGCAATTTCCGAGTATGCCAGTTAGTTAAGTTTTTACTGTTAAAGGATGACTGCATGAAGCAATTTCCAGTCTTCTGTTTTCAGAAAAGTTCCTCCTTTTTTTACTTAAATTATTTTGCTTGCAATATCTGTTAAGGGAAAACTGTTATACAGTGAAAATTTAGAAAATGTTCAGAATTTTGATTTAAGTTAAATTATTTAAATATTAATATGGAAAAATAAATTGTATTTATTTTTAGGTGCCAAGCGAATATAATAAATATGGCTTATTATTATTTATTTTCTGTATTTTGAACTGAAATTTCATCATTAAATCTTGTAATATAATTTAGTTCTGCATAGTTTTTTTCTCTCTCATAGTAAACTAGTTCTGTAAATCGAACTATTATTTAAAATTAAAAAAAAAAAAAAAAAAAGAATGTAATTGTTTTCCGTAGTTGAGTAATGCTCATTATCTTTTAATAAATACTGAATTTCTCATATTTTAAATTACAATTCCAATTTTTCTTTTAAGGTTATGCAGTTGTGTATAATGTAATTAGACAGGTGCTTATTTTTTTTTCTTAAAATATGCTTGAAAAGTGCTTATAGGTGCTTATTTTTTTAACTAAAATGTGGCTATGAACCCTGTTAATCTAACAACAATAAATTTTTTTTCAATAAGTATTTTAACATATAATTATAAAACAATTAATAAGTATATTAAATGAATAGAAAATATATTCAGACTATAATCATTATACTAAGTTTTAAAAAAGGTATGTTAACATCAAATACAATTTGACACTACTTCAGTAAATCTAAACTATTCTTAATCTAATAATATGAAACTAAATTAGCAAAATAAACAATTACCATAAAACATATTCAATCTTATTCATATTATTAAACATTAAAAAAGTGTTTTTAAAGTTCTAAAAGATATAATAATTGAACTGGTCGTTTTATTATTGTTCCATCAGCAGTTTTTAGTTCACAGGAATGAACTTTGTTCTCACGACCACGAAAAATGTTTATCACTCTGCCACAGTTCCACAAAAGTTTGCACTTGTTGTTGCCTTTGATTAATACAAGATCATCATAAATGTTAAGATTTTTTAATTGATGAACCATCCGAAGATCCATCAAATACTGTTTTTTCCATTTAGTCCACAATTGTCTAACAAATAAATCTTGATAAATCTTTCTTTTGGTCAGAGAGGAATTGGTAGAGCCATCTTTAACAATATAGTTACAATAAGTTGATAGGTAATGCAGAATCTTTGTTTCCAAAAATCAAAAAAATTACTGGCTTCAGTGGCAACAGTTCCTTGTGGTCATTGTACACATATGTCAAAGGACAAGAATTTCAAAACAGCTTCCACTTGTGCTAAAACCGTTGACAATTCTTCAAACATTAGTAAAGCTTTACCGAGAATTTTTCTTAAGCACTCTTTCACTGATTTTACTAATCTCTCGTAGAAGCCTCCCCATCAAGCCCTTCGTTCTATTAAAAACTTCCAACTGATTCTTTCTTTCGACAGAAAATCTTGGAATTTCTCATTTGACAATAGTTTAAAGAAATTTTCGAGTTCCTTTTTTTTCTTTTTAAAATTTTTTCATTGTCCGAATAAATTACTCGACAATTGCCTCTTCTAGATGTGTATCTTTTGAATGCCATCAAGAAACAATCTGAGATTCAGTACAAGTTCCAAATGTATGGCTCTAGTGATAGTGCAAGTAAATAATGTTACATAGGCTTTTTGACTTCCTTCGATGTTTTTTACGTAAATCGGTCCAGGGATATTGAAGCCAGACACGTAGAATGGTGGTGTCTCATTAATTCTATCTTCTGGAAGTTGAGAAGTGGTCTGGTCAGCAGACTTCAATGAATATCTTTTACAAATAAGACACTTGTTTATTATTTTCTTGATAAATTGGCGTTCTTTTGGGATCCAAAATCGACTTCGAATTTCAGCTAAAGTCGTTGCTACTCCTCCATGCATCATTTTAACATGTGCACTTTCTAATATCAAACTCGTTAGCCAGAAGTCTCTTGAAAGAATTGCCGGATATTTTTCATCATGTGACAAACTAGAATGTTCTAATCTTCCACCTGCTCTCAGTTTCCCATTCTAGTCTATAAATTGATTAAACAGATATAAAGATGATTTCTTTTCGACTTTATTCGCTTTTCTTCAGAGACTCAACTTCTTTGGGATAAAAGCGCTCTTGTTCAGATCGAATCCAATAATTTTCAGCATCTACTATTTCTTCGTTCGGTAACGGACCTGTCACATGGTTACTTTTCCTAATTTTACCAATAAATTGCTTCATCCAACCAGTTATTTTTAACAATTTTCCTAAATGACTATATTTTGAGATGTCTATAAGTCTTTTTTTCAGCTGCTGTGCACACAAATTCATAAATATTGTTTTTGCAGTATTCTAATTCTTCTTCAATGGCAGGTTTCTCTTCATTCTGGCGAGGCCACAACTCGGATGACATTCTAAAGCCATTCTGGTCCTTGAAACCAGATAGGATTGTGTTTCAACTCATGAAGTTTAGCTCCTCTCGAAGCCAAATCAGCAGGATTACATTTACCGGAGCAATAATGCCAATTTTCTGGGGATGTTAAATTTTGTATTTCCTGAATACGATTTTTAACGAAAAGCTTAAATTTCTTTGCACAGTCTTTTATCCAGAAAAGTGTGATTTTAGAATCAGTCCAGAAAAAACAAGAAAGTTGTAACTTCAAAACTTTAGTGATGCTAATGCCTAATTTGGCTGATAAAAGAGCTCCCATTAGATCCAACCTAGGTAAGGTGAGCAGTTTTAAAGGCACTACTGTAGTCTTTGAAGCAACAAAAACCGTAAATATTTGTTCATTGCTACAAATTATACGCAGATATGCTACTGTACCATACGCCTTTTTGCTAGCGTCAGAAAAACAGTGGAGCTCAATCTTTTCCACATCACTACTACCGAGTGCAGAAAAATAATATCGGGGAATACCGATTTTGTCTAAATTGGAAACTTCTTTGCACCAGGTTTTCCATGCAGAACATAAATT